CCTGTCTGCTCCTTGTTGAAGTGGATCCTTTTTAAGTGAGGCTAAGATGAAAAGGAATTATCATTTTTCTCCTGATACACAGCATTGGAGACAACCCCTATCACCTGCCGAGGCAAGTACTGTTGACTCCGGAGAATATAGTTGAGGCCACACAGTCCTATGCTGGGGCACAGATTTTTCAGCCTGATAAAACAGAAGGCTTAGGGAGAAATCCTCACACTTTCCCTATCCAACTGGCTGGGTTTTTATTGCATGTTGGGGCCACTGCTCGTCACATAATGGCTGGGGTAAAAAATGGGGCATGGAGTAGGCAGATTGCAGTCTTCTTCTTCTTCTTCTTCTTCTTCTTCTTCTTCTTCTTCTTCTTCTTCTTCTTCTTCTTCTTCCTTGATCACTGTAGCCGAGTAAGATGGTCTTCCATAAACATGGTTGTAACAGTAGGTCCGTAAGTGACTGTGGAGGCCAGTTCTGGATCCACATGTCCTTCCACAGTGGAGACATTGGTTTCTGGGAGGGAGTTGATCACGGTGAGGGTTTGCCAAGTGTGCCTTCCTCTTAGCACGTGTCTCCTTTTCATCCTGAGTTTGAGCATCTTCAAAGCCCATGACACCTTTGGTAAAGGTTGTTCTCCAATTGGAGCACTCGCAGGCAAGTGTTTCCCAGTTGTCTGTGTTTATACTACATTTTTAAAGATTTGCCTAGAGACAGTCTTTAAACCTCTTTTGTTGACCACCAGCATTTCGCTTTCCATTTTTAAGTTTGGAATAGAGTAGTTGCTTTGGAAGATGATAATCAGGCATCCACACAACATGACCAGTCCAACGAAGTTGATGTTGAAGAATCATTGCTTCAACACTGGTGATCTTTGCTTCTTCCAGTACACTGATATTAGTTCGCCTGTCTTCCCAAGTGATGTGTAAAATTTTTTGGAGACACCCTTGTTGGAATCTTTTGAGGAGTTGGAGATGGTGTTTATAAGTGGTCCATGTTTCACAAGCATATAGTAAGGCTGGCAGTACAATAGCTTTGTAAACAAGCATTTTGGTTTCCCTATGAATCTCCTGGTCCTCAAACACTCTGGTCCTCAAACACTCCTGGTCCTCAAACACTCTGCACTTCAATTGGGAGAAAGCTGCACTCGCAAAGCTCAGGCGACACTGGACCATGGCATCAGTGTTGGCCCTTGTGGAAAGATAACTGCCTAGGTAGGAGAAGTGATCGACATTTTCCAATGTTACACCACTGAGTTGGATTTGTGGCGCTGCAGAGGGGTTATTTTGTACTTGTTGCTGCAGCACTTTGGTTTTTTGGATGTTGAGTGATAGGCCAAGCTTTTCATAAGCTTCTGCAAAGCTATTTAGGATGGTTTGGAGATCATCCTCTGAGCCAAAAACCTCCACAGAAGAGGTTTATAAGTGGTTCATGTTTCACATGCATACAGGAAGGTTTGGGTCTGATGCCATCACTCAAAGTCAGCTTCCTCAGCCCCACTCCCTCTCCACTCCTGGAAAGCCCCATTTTGAGGCCTTCCATTGTTTGCCACCCGTGGGGATTCCACCAGCAACATTTCCACCCACTCACACGTTGGGCGGACAGGTGGGAGAACTCCACATCAGAGGAGTGTTTCCAGCATCAATCCACAGGTAGCAGCCAGTGGGAGGCATAGCTGATGCATATCCCCAGTTGCTGCATAGAGAAGAGCTCAAAAGGAACTAAATGCATGCTTTCATTTAATAAGTTTGCATATTCTTTTAGAGTAACTCCAAAGCAAATCCGGCTGCTGTAAAGGAGTCTGATTTAATATGTAGCAGCATTACTCATCCTAATTTTAATGGCAGAAGGTAGAGCATCTTTGTTCTTCGGCTCTTTATTTCCCCCTCTTCCCCATCCCTTCATTTGATAGAAAGTGACTTTGCCATATGCTGGTTAAAATACTTCAGAAAATATTTCAGTAAGATAAAAAAAATACAACGGCCATCAAGATCATTTGCAAATCTCCATCTGTTTGATCGCAATGGCAGCTCAGCGTGAAAAGACTGTGCTTGACAGAAGAAGAAGAAGAAGAAGAAGAAGAAGAAGAAGAAGAAGAAGAAGAAGAAGAAAGCATTGGGAGAAAATGTATTTCCTAGATAAAATGCTCATATCAAGATTGTTGCGCAGCCCAATCTCAGACATGTTTGCAGACACGTCCCATTGCAATCACTGGAACAGCTCTACCAAGTAAGGTTGAGCAGAAATGACATCCTAAAAATTATTGATTCTAATTGTAGGTGACAAAAAGGGGATGTGTGTGAGCTAAATATTTTTGCACTGGGAAGTGAAATTCCTATAGAACTCATGTAATGTTAAATGAAGTTAGTTCATACAGGTGGGTGAAGGAAGCAATGGGTGGAGAGCAGGTCCAAGAGCATTGGCCCAAGCCCTTTGCTTCCTTCAACTATCTATCAATCTATCAATTGATCAATCTACACACATACATGTCCCACACCCACCTACCCATACAATAAAGTCTACAATTTGTGGAGGGAACCACTGCACATATTGCCCCGAAAGTTTGCAGGTTTTATCCTTTTGGAAGGAACATCTGTGCCTTCAAATTGTGTCCAATTCTCACAATAAATAAAAAGGTTATAGGCTTTTTCTTTAAAAAATAAATACAGCTACACATTGCCTGCATGAAAACCCCTTGACTGATCTGCCTGCTTAATTCAGTCTGAAGGGGCTCCTTTGCCTGCAAATTTCATCCACTTCTATGAAAAGGATGTAAAGTTATAGCTGTTCCCCATCATAATCAGTGTGAGGAAACAGAACTTCAGGTTTAATAGCTCTGATTCAGACCTGAATATTGTTAAACTGTAAAGACACAGAATGGTCCCAAAACTGAATGGGTTGCTTCTCAACAAGGGAAATCTTGTGGTTGGTGGAGTCCCCTAGTAGTGGGCTCTATCGTAAAAGACAACAGGGTGGGGGACCATAACTTGGTGGAAGAGTGCATGATTTGAATGCAAAAATTCTCAAGTTCAATCCCTAGCATGTTAGATTGGTTAGCAGCTGATAAGAAAGACCTCTGCTTGAGACCTCAGCAGTGATCAATCCTCCAGATATTGTGAACTACAACACCTATAATCCCTGTTAATTGGGCTGATGGGTGTTGTAGTATTCAACATCTGGAAGGCATTGTGTTGTCTCCTATTCTTATAATTTCTTCCCATTCCATCTTTCCTCATGATTGTTACACAGAGTCAGGGATGCTGGGATTTTTCTTCTTTTTATGAGTCCAGCACAGCTACTTTTGCTTTTTTTCAGGAGGAAACAGTAATATTTTGCAGCAGCCAGGTTTCATTCCCTTCCACTTGCTGCTCCTAATAGGTTGTTATCTCCACTCTGAGGGAGCAACCTTTTTAACCTTCTGTTCCTTCACCTCTCCTTAGACCTCTGTCAGCTTGCTCTCTCTTTGAGGTTAATTAACTTGGGCAACCTTATCATGCAGTATCTCAGTACTGCTAACAGAACTAGTCTAGGTCAATGCTGACTACAAGGAAACTTACCTTGGTGCATGGAAAAAGTAGGCAAGGAGGGGACAAATCCAGATTCCCAGTACAATATCTTTTCCCATTGGGGATTCTGTGATTGGTAGATCTTGAATGGGAAAAGACTGCTTGCTAGGGGCTGCAAATGCCCTCCAGATACTGTCTCTGCCTTCACATGATCCAGGGTAAGGTTCTTAGCCACAGAACGGGGAAAATGAAGGTGAGGTGTGGTTTTGTATGCATTTGCTTGGAATATGCCCAAAGCCACAATGCTTTTCAAGGCAAACACAGGGATTCTAATGCACCTGTATTTGAACATACTAGAATTGCTCTCTGGAATTGCATTTTAATTGCTTAAGTCTGTTTCCGATGAGTTGGATGATGACTAGTATAATGCTAAATTGCCTTCCTATCATTAAATGCAACAATAACTCTGAACTGCTAACATGCATCATTGAATGTATACTGCAGTGCCCAGAGAAAGAGAGAGAGGGAGGACCGGGAGATCAGGAATACCTAAGGGATTCTCCAGTGTACTGAGCATTCATCCTCATTTGCTTGAGCAAAGAGAGGTTAGCTTATATCCAGCTGTTATTGAACATTTGCTCTGATGTCATTGCTGGGAGGTTGTGCAACAATGAGTACTCAAACTGCATACATCCCAATTTGCTTATGGGGTGTTTATACATCTTCCCATCAATCATTCATACACTTTCTGATGCATTTCCTTATCATTTCCCTGAAAGCTAAAGGTCTGTTTCTTTTATAAAGTGGATTTGTTGTGTGAGGATGACAGAGTGCCTTAATCTACTTTGATGGTGCAAACCTAAATTTCCTAGAATACCCTTGAATCCCTCCCACAAAATACTGAACATCTGCAGGTGCCCTTTATCCAGGGATGGGGAAGCTTGGGCCCAGGGGCCAATTGTGGCCCTCAAGCCTCTCAGGGCATTCTCTAGACCACACCTCCTAAACTCAGGCCATACCCCTTAATGGTCTTGCTTTATACCCAAAGTGTTTTTGCCTAGATGGAATGTAGCCTTGAATTCTGCTAATGGCTCTTGCTTTTCTGCATGGGGGATAGAGAGGGGAGTGCAAGTGTGTGTGGAAACTAGCCTATCACACAAAGGCAAAATGTACACCCGTTGCTCCGCTCTGGCCCCACCCATTACTGGTATGTGGCCTTTAAAAAGTTATCCAGAAGGGAAAGTGGCTCTGGGGCTGCAAAACTTGTCCCATTCCTGCCTTTATGTAATGATGGCTGGGATAAATCTACAGGAAAACAGGGCTGTGGCTGTAGGTAAATACCAAGGAAATATGATCAACAAATGTATCATAGAGGACAATTTTGTAATGAAGTGGGCTTTTATGGACACACAAAATGTTCTGTTCCACCAAAGGAGCCATAAATGAATTGTCCAAATTAGCAGCAAAAGGAATTTATTGTGACATGCAAAATTCCCATTCAAGGAGCCGAACAGTTGGTAATGTTCGAAATATAAACATGTAAAGACAGCTTAAAACAATGAGCAAACAGTCAAGAGATGGAGAGTATCATGTCATGGTGACCTTCGCTGTACAGCAGAAGCAGGAAATCGTCTGGGAAGTAATTTTCACTGCAGAAAGCAACTTCTGGTCCTTACCAGGACGTACCATGGATGGGTCATCCAAATCCCGCATTGTGCATTTTCTCATGGGGGCTGCTTGTGAAATAATAAAGTTTAACACCCTTCAGATTTATGTGAATAAATATCTATCTGATTACAGAAAATTTGCATCTCTTTAGCTGTGTCACTTTTGCTGTATTTATTGAGAGCTGGATTAGTCAGTCACCCCAGGATGAACCTAATGAAAGTGAATTGAGAGAGAAAATATTAGGTACTCGGGAAGACTTGCTGCATGCATTGAAAATACAAAGCTATTCCATTTGTGTTCACAGGGCTTGTTTCCTGAGCACTGCTGGCAAGATATATGACAACCTGCCACAAATGCTTGACCTATTTTCCATGCAGCTCATAGCCAAGGGGGAAAAAAGTAGGCAGAAAGGGCATTTCAGTTGCCCTGTGGCAGGAACTATGGGTTGTAGGCAATGTTCTCTGTCTACTAGCACAAGACCCCTTGCAGAAACGGAGGACAGAGTTTGGAGGTTACTCAACAAAGGAATCCAACACAGCAGTTGTATTAGTGGAAGGTTGCTGAGCAGACAGTTGCTTCTTGTGCAATCTGTTGCACACCCATCTTGTGTTTTCCCTTGTTCCAGAGAACGAGGGATAGATATAAATGTCTCCAGGAGGAGCCTCACATACATCTAAATGGATTTCAGAAGAGTGTATGGAATTGGAAAGGGTGCAGCTTTGAGATTTGGGGGATGGGATTTTTTAATTATTATTTAAAAACTGCTTGGTATTTCACTTAACGGAGAAGTCTCCATAATAAAAATAAAAAGTGGCAGCACACAAAAACAAAATAAGGCCCAAGACGGGGTATATGTGTAATTTTATTCTTTTATTATGTAACAAGAGCATTTATAGGCTTTCTCTGTGCAAATAAAACCTCATATTTATGCAATGCCACATTTGATATTAAACATCTGACGACAACAGTTGAAAAACAAAATGAAGTCTTTTACCAAATCACACCACTTATTTGTTTAAGTTTGCAGCTGTAATCTGAACAATTGTGTCACAATTTGGCCTGATGACCAAGTTGTAAAACATACCAAAAGGGTAAGTGTCCAATTGGAAGCCCCCTTTCAGCTTCAGACCCCAGACCAAATACCCCTCCTGCCCCACCTCAATTGGCTCTGCATCTTGCTGTCTGCCTAACGGCTAACCACAGACGCAAGGTGGGCTAGAGAACATTTAGGAGGTGATGGAAGGGTTGGGTACATCTCATGTCTTCCCCTGAAGCTCTTCTTGAAACTGCAAGAAGTGCTCCCTAAAGACGCTGTGTCTCCTTCCATACCTCATTGAGCCTTGTAATTTGGACAATGGACTGAAAAACAGAGCAGCTGGTGCTATAGATATGATTTAGTTGTCACGAACATCTGGTAACTGATGGAGGGATTATAAGGAAGTAGGGAAGTCTGCGAAGGTTGCAGGCTGTCCCCCAACGCAATCTCCAAGCAGTAGTGAATGGGGGATGCAAGCCCGGTGTTAATGAAAACAGTAAACAGTTCTCTGAATGGCTTCTTACATGCCTAATTTGAATGCAAAATCACAGCTTCATATTCATTATAGATGCTATAAAATGGCCATAAATCCTGGAATTTATAACCAGCTGAGTTTTCTATAAATGATGTGCGGTTTATTGTCTGTTAATACCCAGTTACGGCAGTTAAACGTTCAGTCCCGCCAATTTTATAACTTTTTACCATACATATTAGAACAGAATGTTCACATCCGCATAGTTAAGGATGAGTTGCAGTTTCTGCTGAAAACTTCTGTTTTCAGCCATAGAGAAGTTATTCCATGCGATAACCTGACAAATATGTGTGTTTATTTATTTTTTTTTTTAAAAGAAATGCCAAAAACCCAGAGCCATATTTTTGTACCACTTAAGCAGCCAGATTGGCTCTTTGCGAGATTGTTGACGGATGATTGCAGATCATATCAGAGGCTTTTGGTTTTGGCTGGGCTGGGGCCTTAAAGATGGCAATAAAAATATCCCTTCATTTAGATGTTGGGTCAAAAAGATGTTGATAGGAGGAAACATGATGTTTCACTGATATGATATTACTCCATTGGGTAATATCCAAGGAAAACGTAGTTAAGAACAAGAGTGGGTATAGATCTGGGCTCTGATACCCACCTATACCCACCCTGATCTATACGGTTCTTCCAGTACAGTGGCATTAGTTTGTCTGTCTTCCCAGGTGATGTGTAAATTTTTTTCGGAAACATTGTTGATGGAATCTTTCAAGGAGTTGGAGATGGTGTTTATAAGTGGTCCACGTTGGACTGGTCATGTTGTGCGGATGCCTGATTATCGTCTTCCAAAGCAACTACACTATTCCGAATTTAAAATGGTAAGTGTAATGCTGGTGGTCAACCAAAGAGGTTCAAAGACTCTCTCAAGGCACATCTAAAAAAAATGTAGTATAAACACCGACAACTGGGAAATACTGGCCAATTGGTGAACAGCCTTTATCAAAGGTGTCATAGGCTTTGAAGACGCTCAAACTCAGGACAAAAAGGTGAAACGTGCTAAGAGGAAGGCACACTTGGCAAACCCTCACCGTGATCACTCTCCTGGCTTGGCAGTGGTACAGTTTACTTGAGTGGGGCTTGAATGGGGCCAGAGCAGTAATGAGGTCAGGAACTGTGTGGGTGCACTGGTGGAGCCAATCCCATGCTCCTGACCTCCTCACTGTCCCACTGCATCGTATCCCCATACAGATAATCTGTGGTGCTGTTGGCGTCAGATGGGCATCTCTTTGTCTCTGGTCCACCACACTAGTCGCTGCTGATACCATGCCTGCAGGAGGCCCCAGGTTAATCCCTTGGCATCTCCAGGTGGGGCTAGGAATGTTTCCTGTCTGAGACCTTGGAGAGCTCCTGTGAGCCGCGTGGAACAGTGATCTAAGTGAGCTTCCTGTGTTCCTATGTAGTGTGCAGAATAAGGAAGGGAAACGGTGTACCTGTATATAAAGAATCAAGCCTGACTCAGACCTTATAGCTCCCATGTTCATAAATATGGAATCTGGAATACCAAACAATTGGGGTTCCGGATTGTATGGGAACCTTTATATTCACAAAGGCTCCCATATGAACTGCCTTCAGACACTCAGGGCCACATTTGTGTACTGCACAAGCAACCAGATTGGTTCTTGAGGGGAGATGGTAGCTCACAGTGTTGGGGGGCAGCCTGCTCAGGGCATCCCCAGTCCCTTATCCCATGTTGATGAACACAGGAGCTACAATGTCTCTATAGAGTTTCACTCTCTGACAAATATGCAGTGGTACCTCAGGTTAAGTACTTAATTTGTTCTGGAAGTCCATTCTTAACCTGAAACTGTTCTTAACCTGAGGTACCACTTTAGCTAATGGGGCCTCCCACTGCCGCCGCACCACCGGAGCACGATTTCTGTTCTCATCCTGAAGCAAAGTTCTTAACCTGAGGTACTATTTCTGGGTTAGCGGAGTTTGTAACCGGAAGCATCTGTAACCCGAGGTACCACTGTATCTTTAGGACTGATATATATGCATACCTGTGATTGTTGCACACATATTTGGAGCTGGGTGTACAGTGGTACCTCGGGTTACAGACGCTTCAGGTTACAGACTCCACTATCCCAGAAATAGTACCTCAGGTAAGAACTTTGCTTGAGGATGAGAACAGAAATAGTGTGGCGTTGGCGTGGTGGCAGCGGGAGGCCCCATTAGCTAAAGTGGTACCTCAGGTTAAGAACAGTTTCAGGTTAAGAACGGACCTCCAGAACAAATTAAGTTCTTAACCCAAGGTACCACTGCACTCATAAGAACCTAAGAAGGAGCCTGCTGGATCAGGCCAATGGTCTATTTAGTCCAGCATCCTGTTCTCACAGGAGCCAACCAGATGCCCAGGAGAAGCCCAGAAGCAGGACCCAAATGCAAGAGTACTCTTACCTTCCGGCAGCTTCCAGCAACTAGTATTTCATTTAACTTCATTTTTAAAATTTTGCTTTTAATTTGTATACCGCCATTCTAGATTACTATACCAGGTGGTTTACTAGCTGAAGGAACAACAAAATATACAACAAAGATCACACACCTTATAACCATCTGTTCCAATACAAAAAATCCATAATAAAAGCATAAACGACTAAAATAAACGACTGATATCAAATAAACTAAGTACTATTCACTATTCAATAGCACACAATAAAATTAAATATCAGCAAATAATAACTAAACAAAAATTCACTATTAACAATTACAATAAATAACTACCAAAGTACAATCAATAAAAATAACAGTGAGTCACAATGCATAAAATGCCATATTACATGAAACCGTGTAAAAGGATCACATGGATAAATAAAGGCACACAACTTATATTTAAAATCAATTTAAAAATCCCTAAACTCTTCCCTCTTCCAAGATGCTTCTGCTATTCTTCATGGTCTGGAGGGTGGGGCAAGGCAGGTGGAAAAAGCCATTTCCTGGTGGACAGCACAAAGTCTCCCTCCCCTCACAGTTCTTCCTCTGGAAAGATCTCTGTTATGAAGACGCTTACTGCCTCTGAGAGTGGAGGTCGAACCAAGCCACTGTAGCCAGTAGCCATTGCTAGCCTTATCCTCCGGGAATTTGTCTAATCCAAGTTGGAGGCCCTCCCTTTTTGAATTCCATAGTTCAACTATGCACTGTGATGAAATCCTTTCTTTTGCCTGTTCTGAATCTTCCAGCATTCTGCTTCATTGGATGACCGTGATTTCTAGTGTTCTGAGATGGGGAGGGGGGAAAACACTTCTCTCTATCCACTTTTCTCCATGCCATGCATAAATCTATACCCTTCTACCATGCCATCCTTTACTCACCTATTCTCTATACTTTTGTTGTTGTTTAGTCGCTTAGTCGTGTCCGACTCTTCATGACCCCGTGGACCAGAGCACACCAGGCACTCCTGTCTTCCACTGCTTCCCGCAGTTTGGTCAAACTCATGCTGGTAGCTTCGAGAACACTGTCCAACCATCTCGTCCTCTGTCGTCCCCTTCTCCTTGTGCCCTCCATCTTTGCCAACATCAGAGTCTTTTCCAAGGAGTCTTCTCTTCTCATCAGGTGGCCGAAGTATTGTAGCCTCAGCTTCACGATCTGTCCTTCCAGTCAGCACTCCGGGCTGATTTCCTTAAGAATGGAGAGGTTTGATCTTGCAGTCCATGGGACTCTCAAGAGTCTCCTCCAGCACCATAATTCAAAAGCATCCATTCTTTGGCAATCAGCCTTCTTTATGGTCCAGCTCTCACTTCCATACATCACTACTGGGAAAACCATAGCTTTACCTATACGGACCTTTGTTGGCAAGGTGATGTCGCCCCAAATGTTGTGACCCTTCTTAATAGGGGAGCTGCTGTATCACCTTGACCATTTGGGTTGCCCTTTCTCTCCAAAGGACCTCCTGCATGCATTCATCCTCTTAAGCCTTTTAAAAGAAAGCTCCGAGATATAAGGGAAGACCATTCTCACCATATACAAACCTGCACTTATAGTATTTCTTCTTCTTCTTTCCATTTTAAAATTGGAATTTGGCTACCGGCCCAGAGACTCTGCTGAAGCATTTCTACATGTCTTCTGCTCTTCTCCCAGCTGCCTGCTTCCAAAACAGACTTTTCCCTTTACTGAGGTTCTGCAGGCATGTTAGTTCACACTACAGGGAGACCTTTCATCCTTTGCAGCCCTTTGTGTTTTCAGAATAAAGAACTATTTTAAAGTCTAGAAATTTTGAAAATCCCACTGATTGGTAGAAATGGGGCAGGTCAAATACCTTGACTCTTGAGGGTCTATAACAAACAGTGTAAGATTTGGCTGCTGATACAACTTCCAGGCAGGAACTCAAGCTAAATTTTCTCCTTCTTCCCCCTTTGTAGTTATGACCTACTTGTTATGAGTTTTCGGGAAGGAACAGTTGGGAGAAGGTGTACTTTTAGGAATCCAGAAATGGCTGTTATAAACCCACAAAGGACTTGAAGGCATGAAGGCAACTACCACCCCACCATTTCCAAGCTAGATAGAATATAGAATCATAGAATCATAGAGTTGGAAAAGACCACAAGGGCCCTCGAGTCCAACCCCCTGCCAAGCAGGAAACACCATCAGAGCACTCCTGACATATGGTTGTCAAGCCTCTGCTTAAAGACCTCCAAAGAAGGAGACTCCACCACACTCCTTGGCAGCAAATTCCACTGTCGAACAGCTCTTACTGTCAGGAAGTTCTTCCTAATGTTTAGGTGGAATCTTCTTTCTTGTAGTTTGGATCCATTGCTCCGTGTCCGCTTCTCTGGAGCAGCAGAAAACAACCTTTCTCCCTCCTCTATGTGACATCCATTTATATATTTGAACATGGCTATCATATCACCCCTTAACCTCCTCTTCTCCAGGCTAAACATGCCCAGCTCCCTTAGCCGTTCCTCATAAGGCATCGTTTCCAGGCCTTTGACCATTTTGGTTGCCCTCCTCTGGACACGTTCCAGTTTGTTAGTGTCCTTCTTGAACTGTGGTGCCCAGAACTGGACACAGTACTCCAGGTGAGATCTGAAAAAATGGTTGAAAACTATTTATTCTCCATCTTTTCTTCAACATGTTTCCACAGAAGGAGGTGTGGGGGCACAGCCATGCCTGCACCTGATATCAGGTATGTCACACACGTGGGCGTGGCTTGGCCAAAATGGCTGCATGGAGTAAATGTGGAGGCCTACTGGGCCAAATTAGGCCTGCAGACTAGGGGTTCTGCACCACCAACCCTACCATCAAAACACAGGACAATTCACCCACATTTATTTCGTGTCCTGATCAAGCTAAGCAACTCAGACCACCATGAGCTTCCAGGAGCTCCTTAGTGGTTGGGAAAGTCAAATATCTGTGGAGCTTCTCCTTATGGTCTCTATATATTCATTGACCATTTGAAGGGAGGAAGTGTGACTGAATGCTCTGGCCCCCAGTCCCTGCTGGTGCCTGAATACACAGAGACAGACCTTGCTGGGCTTCTTGCACCAACTAGAGAACACTAGGCAGCTATGTTGTCCCCCACAAGCAACCCTTGGGATGATTCATTACTCTTCTTTCCCGATGCACTTCTGCAACACATATCTGAAGATATATGCACACAGTACAATAGCAGAGTCCAAGCAGAAGATAGGCGTTGGAGGTGTGGATTTCTAAGCTACTTTATAATGTACAAAACAGAAGAAAGGAAATCATGGCTCCTCTCTCCTTCTTCATCTCTGAGAGAGCAGAAAAGCAAAAGTACAACATAACGGAACAATGCAACTGAACTTCCGTTCTCATGACTCCAACAGCATGGAATGTCAACACAGACATGTGATGAAAACAATCACACATCCATCCTGCAACGGGGGAATGAAATCCCAGCCACTTTCTGTTCAGCAGAAGGTCTGATCAAAGCTTTCACGTAGACTGGTGCATAAACAAAATCTCTGTTTACTTCATCACTAAAGCAAAATGAGATAAATTGTCTTCAACTGTGGAAGTGGAGCATAGCCACTGTGACTAGCAACTATCAATCACAATATCCTCCATGAATTTTCCCAATTCTTTTTTGAAGCCATCTAAGTTGGTGGACATCAGTACTTCTGGCAGGAACAAGTTCCATAGCTTAGCTACTGTGTTGTTGGACTCCAACTCCCACCAGCTTCATCCAACACAACGAATGGTCAGGGGTGATGAGAGAAGCAGTCCAAGATAATCTGGAGAGCCACAGGTTCCCAGTCCTTGCTCTAGAGTCACCCTCTCCCTGATGCGACAACTAATTATATGGGGAAGCTTTTATATCTATCTATCTATCTATCTATCTATCTATCTATCTATCTATCTATCTCAGGGCAGCATTAAGAAGAACTCCCCTCACTGAAATCTGAAGTGGTAGAGTCCAAAATTCTACCATCTAATTCTATTACCACATTTTCTGAAGTTGCAGAACACTAAATTCTGTCCAGAGAGCACGGCTGTCCTAAATTTAAGCCAAACAGCAAGTGAATACTGTTTCAGAGCAATTCATTCCCTGGTCATTGTCACAAGACAGTGTTGCAGAAGCAGTTTGTGTCAGAGCTTAAGGCAGCCTCTCAGCCATTTGTATTAGAGATGTCTGACTCATAGCAGAGGGAAACGAGCAAAGCATTTAGCAATGTGGATCCCATATATTTACTGGCCTGTGCAAATGGCTTTAGGTGACAGGTAGAATAATACTTGGTGACATGCCTGCCTCTAGATTAATACATTTTTTTCTTGTCCTTTGCCGT